AGCCTGGAATGAAATTAGCTTTCTTAATGATAGTCGAGTTAGTTGCACTGTAGGCGGGGCGTTTTCGATAAATTTTTAGGGGCGCACGAAAATATTGCTAACCACCACTATATCATAACTACCACTTGACTACGCGATTTATCGCGAGGATGCATGAATATGCGTGATTTGTTTATGAGAACCCAGGCTGGAAGGCACCGGGCGGGCCCGTGCGATCGTACGTTTTTGCACCGGACTTGAATTACTCAGGTCATTAACTGTACGAATTGCTGTTGCTTTATACCTGCCTTTTGCGGTCACTAGCATAAATCACCATAAATTTTGCAAAGTAAATGTACAATTTCCATTTAACAGTCGTTCTTTAGAAGCAACCTAGTTGTTCAGTGAGAAATTTTTTCGTCAAAACTTTAAGTGCCCGTATTTAAGAACCATGCATGCTTCAAGACTGAATTTGAAATGCTTAAGTTGTGCTTGGACAGGGAGCATGCCCTTAAAATTTCAGCTTTCCAGCGTTTTTGGTTACCGAGTTAGCAGTTTTCTCACTGAAACCTTCACATACCTGTTCTTGAGTACTCCACGTGCTTAGAAAGCTGAATTTGAAATTTTTAAATTGCAAATGGGCAGGAAATATCCGTCTAAAATTTCAGCCTTCCAGTTCTGATTGCCGAGTTAGCAATTTTCCTGCGGAAACTTTCATGCTCTTTTACGTGAGTACAATGCGTAGCTTGGGGCTGACTTTGAAATATTTGAGTTGTACTTGGATGGGGAACATCCCCTCAAAATTTCAGCTTTCTAGCTTTCCTGGTGCCCGAGATAGCAATTTTTCTTTCGCAAACTTTCGTACGCCCTTACGTGGGTACCGCGCATATCTGGGGCCTGAGTTTGAAATCTTTAGCTAGTACTTGCACAGGGAATATCCCTACAAAGTTTCAGCCCTTTAGCTCATGTGGTTCCCGAGATCTTTTTCCCGCCAAAAAATCTGCATATTTTTTTAAAGCTTCTGTACACGGCACCCAGGCCTCCAAGGTCTATGAAATTAAAATGGGAGGGTCGCGCGTGGTATAGGCACTTATCCCTAAATTTTCAGCCTTCTAGCTTTTCTGGGTCTGGAGTTGAAAGTGGGTGAAAAAAAAGTGTGAACACACACACACACAGACAGCTTCTTCCCAACATGCGTTTTTGCAATTTACATATATGCAAAAACGCGTAAAAACAGAATGATGAATCCTCCTATAAATACTTAGAGCAGAAGAATTTGATTTCAGTAAGTTTTTAGAAGTGCTAATAAGTGGTTGAGCCAAGCGCTCCTTCGGGACTCATGACAAATGAAGAAGTGGATCAACGAGATAAACAGGAGGTGTTAATGGGGGAAGAAAGTAGCAGCGAAGCAATGCTTTTTGCTAGGTTGTTCCACGGAGATTCGGGAGTACGGTTCAATTTTGATGAAGTTCGCGAGTTTTTGCGTGATCCACACATCGCTCTGATCGCTTCGGATTTAACGGTTTTTGCTATTCCAATATTTTTTTTTGGTTAAATTTGATAGCCATAAAAAGTGCATTCACAAACCTGGGACACTTAATCGCTGTAGTAAATCAAATTTACTAGATACTAAGACTACCCTTCAGCACTCTTCGGCGCTCTTAGTATCCTTATTGTTTCTAAACAGCTTGATGCTCCTATTAATGTTACTGAAATGTTCCTATACGCTAGTCCAGATGTGTCAGACATTTCGATCCTGGACTGCATACTTACTAAATAAAGAGGTTAAATTTTCAAGAAATGAATTTTATTTTGTCCGATATTGTTTTAAGCAATGCATAATTCTCGGGGAAG